GGCGCCCGATAGCAACGGAAGTGCAGACGGTAGAGGCTTGACATTTAGGCTTCCAGGGCGTGAATGAGAGGTTTTTGCTGCCATGACATTTCCGACCATGGCACTCTTTTCGTTAAGAGGAAGAGGAGAAGATGTTGATGCAGGTAGGCCCAGCGGGTGCGTGCGAATGGAAGGTTATTTACTTACGTGTATGTGAGGGCTTCGTCCAGGGATCGGCGACGACTTGGTCAAAATATCAAGACTATCAACAACTACAAATGAGACCCTTGAATAAACGAACGCTCGGTGGTGGAGAGCTGCAGGTCATTCTGAACCCGCTTTATACAAATGCCTAGATGAGACGGCCCATTTGAGAGACAGTAGAATCTGCGTATCCATTTCAGGGTTAGGACATAAGAACAGGAACCGTCCGCAATACAGGAAAAATAGGATCAGGTTCAGGTGTAGGATTAGGATTGGGTTTACAGTTAGGGTTAAAGTTAGCGTTAGGGTAAATTAAAGTTACGTTTGGGATTACGCTTAGAGTTAGTTTTAACTATAAGGCCGGGGTTTGGATGAGGGCTAGGATTAAGGTGTGGGTTTATGTTGGGGTTGGCATTGGGGTCACCTAAACAGGACACGGGAACAGGAACCGCTTACGATACGTATGGCTTTGCGCCAACTTCCAGGGAAATTAGGTTTATGGCTAAGGGGACGGTTGGGCCTGAGGTTGGGGTTAGCGTCCGGATTATGGTAAGGGTTAAGAGTTGGGTTCGCGTTAACTGTAGGGTCAAGGTTTAGGGTAAAGCTAGGGTTAGGATTACGGTCAAAGTTTAGTTTGATGTTAGGATTGATATTAGAGTTAAGACACGGCCACTTATTTTAAGTTGAGAGGGCGTTCCCACATTTTACTTATTTCGGAAACATTCTGGGTTCATTGATGAACTTTCACCCGACCGCTAACGGAACTCTGTCGCTAATGTTATTCTGTCGGAGAAAAATCGTGTCTGCTTCGCAGGTCTGTTTTAATGTATTAAAATGCTCTGTCCGTTTTCTACTGTTTAGTTTATTTGCGCGTAGCATGAGGATGTGTCTGCTACATCAGTAGACAGCAGACATGGGGTGATGGTGTCGTAAAGCGATATAAATGTGGACAGTAAAAAATTTAAAAATGCGAAAACCCGACAATATGACAAGTAAGAGGTTTCAACCATTAAAAGCCCTCAACGGCAGCCGAAAATCGAAGCCAAACATCTACAGCTATCCCAAGGGGAGGCAGTAATCAATGAACGAATTCAACAACTTGCAAGCATATATTAGAGATTTTAAGAAATTGAGGGTTGTGGAGAGAGTAATAAGCGTGCGAGCATTCCGTGTAGAAAATGTAAAAATTATAACGAGGTAAAAAGAAGGCTGTTCGATCACTGGAACTATTTCTTTATTCATCTGAGCTTTCGAACTCACACAGAAACCAGTATCTTCCTTTTTCCAGTCCACCCTCAAGCGTCCTAGGTGTGGCATTTTGCAATATTTTGTCTTAATTATTTAGCACTAAATAGAGTTCAGCATAATTATCTTGAATTTGAACCACTTTGATTGGTTGGTCCGCATGCATGAAGAAACAGGCTGCGTTAAATAAATACATTTTTTCCGTTTCATTGTTCATGAAACCGCAGCTGACTTTGTGCACTCTGCTTTCATACTGCACAGTTTCAGGTAAATAGGGTTGGCACAATTTAGCCGCCTTGAACATAATCAGAAGTCGATACAAAGGCCACTAGATGCTAATTTCCAAAATACCACACTTCCAGCCATCTGTCTAGATCAAGGTGGGAAACAGACAGTTATTGAATTATTCAATTTTTTCTGCATTCGGGGCGATACATGTATAAATTCACTTTCCTAGAAGTGCTACAAATATTATATAACTCAACTGATTTTTTGAAACTTACATCTTAGAGTGCAGTTAACTTTTATAAATTACACTTTAGTTTCAAACGTAACATGCCTTTCGAACTACACGCTTTAACCTTGTTATCGAAAAGTTTCGGATCGAACATATAAATATGGACCCCCTACTACAGGCGGCCTTGTACTAAATTCCAGGAACTTTATTTATTCCCGTACCCTAAACTTAAACACAAAATTAAGCATAATCCTAACCGTAGTTCTAGAACTTCTCTTAACCCTAGTCCTAACATGATCTACTGTTCCTATATTAATTATAACATCCAGCTTATAGCCTTCACTCTAAACCTAACCCTAAACTTAACCCCAACCCTCATTTCACTGGAATTTAGCGTAAACTAGCCTGCACTGTGATGAGTCCCTATCCCCGTCTCCTGCCACTTCCTTGAAGGGATGACAGAGTTGTCTCGACTGAACGGCGACTTTAACATAAAACAGAGACGTTAGATGTATAAAATTGGCAAAATGGATGGAACAGGTTTCGCCAACTTAATACCTCGC